ATGACAGAATTGTCAAAATTTATTGACCCTTAGGTTACAAGGACAGTTAAGCTTAAGTAAACTATCGTGATTATTAAGCAAAGACCTTTATTTGGAAAAATTAAAAATAATATTTCAGAACTTAAACTGGGGGTCGGAGACGTTTAAATTTGCCATATTGCTAGATTCATTACCCACGGGAGAAAAGTGAATAAAATGTCATTAGGCTCCTTTGATACAAAAGTATTTCATTTGAACCTGTGTCTTGAAGCATGTCCACTTAACTGATATGATTAAAGTGATCTGAGAAATGAAGTTTACCATGGCAAACTTGCCTGTGCACTATAGCAAGCTATTCTGTTGAAATAATGTCTTACGACTAAACTGTCATGACTTTGGATTGGGCTCCTGCAGAGCCCTGGTCTTCTGAACAGTGGCCCAAAGAGTTTTGCTTCTTGAACCAGAGAACGGCATATGCACTGGAAAAATCTAAAAACTAAAACAAAAACCTAGTTAAGGGATAGAACTTTCTCAATATTAACCTTTTCTTCCATGAAATGTTATTGTGCCTTTGATGTTTGCTTGCCTTCTATAGTAGTTCAACTGTTTAACAGAAAATTATAGTTATTTTAATGGAAAAATACTTTGTGATCTGTCAACAGGAAATAGCTGGCCCTGTAACAATTTGACAGCTGTTCTAAAGGAATGATATATACTTCAGATAAAAATTGAATAGTACATTTTCACCTAGTGTAGACCAATAATTCAGGAGGCTTTGAGCAGTTCAGTTCATGAGTACTCATCTTTATAATGAAGTCATTAGTCTAAGACCAGCTCATTCAATATTAAGATTAAAAAAGAGCCAACATCTGCATTAAGTAGCAGTTAATTTGGGGGGTGGTGGAGTCTCTGTTTTGCTGCAAAGTCCCATCAATGAAGAAGAGTTTGAGTAAAGTTGGTGCCTGGCTTACCTCTCTGTTAAGGGACTGTGTTGCTTATGCTACCTGGGACTATTTTCTTCTGGTGCCAGAGGGGCTTGTCTTAAGTTGGCTTCTCTGAACTAGAGGTGCTACTGCTCTTCACTGTCTCCTGTGCCTAGGTTGGATTCTGAGAAATGTGTTTTTAAAAAGTTGTCTATTTTTAAATAACAAGGGAAAGTTTGCTGTGTCATTGAGTGGCATACCACAAGAGCTATGTATGTTTGCTATTACATACCTAACAGGATTCAGAAACAAAAATCGTGGACTTTTCATACTCCAAATGTGTTGTGACTTGAACAAATGCTGTGTTTCCCTGTGTGGAGAGGCACATACAGTATGGAGTAGGGATGTGAGTATGTGATTGTGAATATCAGCTGATCAACAAATGTTTGGGCATCACAAATGAGACTACACTATATGTAGTATGAAATGAGCCAAAAGACGTTCATAATCAAAGAGTCTGAAATACGTTCTGAGAATTATTAAGCTCAAGAAATTTCTTTCCTTATTTCAACTCTAAAATGAGCCACGAGAATTAACAGATGAATTTACAAAGTACTGGTAGCACATGTGTGTGTTCTGATTTCCGGGGCAGCATCATTTCATAATCTCAAAATTTAACTTTTAAGGTTCTCCGAGTTTTAGAGGATTGAGACATCAAACACAAACTCTTATATGTATAATCTGAAATGGTTTTAAATTGTGAGCATTGTGAATCAATGTCCTCGGGATATTCATTTGACTGTCTTCATCTAGACTGGAGTGGAGAGGGGCAGTTTAACCTAGGTTACTAGACTGACTACCTTCAACTCCCTTGTAAACATGGCACTCTAGTTCTTTTTCTTCAGGCAATCAAACTATTCTTGTTTATTTTGAAAACAATCCTTATGACTTTTTTACAAAGAGAATTATAAACTAAGTGCTTTCTTGTATTCAGAAACGGATTATAAACCTAACAAAAACTAGCTTTTAGACTTCCCACTGTTGGGGCAAAGTGTCCCCTCAAACACCACCATTATTTAGTGTGTGTCCCAAGTTAATGCCAAAGAATTAAGATTGTGTGCTTTTGCTTAACTGCCCATTTTTGTTATTTAAATTACATATGAACAGGACAGGACATATCTGTATGTGTATATATGTATGTATGTGCATATATGCCAAAACATGAATTTTACAAAGAGAGTTGGGTTACAACTAATGCTACACGTATCTATCCCAGAGGGTTAGTAAGGAAAATTCAGAGTAAAGAGCTTGCCAAGGAGCTTAAGCTGGACTGACCTTATTTGCAAGTGAAGGATCTGGTGCTGCTTTCAGATGTTTATTCTTTGTGTTTATTTTTTTTTTTCTCAAGCTTTAAACTTTGTCATTGTCTTAAAGTCAGCTGGTGTTTCTTGTTCTTGGACTTTGGTACGATGGTGCTTTGCAAGGATGTATTTATATTTTAATGGCCAACATTTGGCCAGCCCCTGTCCACTATTCACTTTCCCCTTTTTGTAAAATAAGTGCTTTAATTGTAAACTGTATAAAAACACCTTGTATAAACCCCATTTTGATTATTACAATAAGCTGAGCTGTAACAAATGAAATGTTGATTTTTATAATAAAACGTGGAAAAATAAAAAGTGTTGTTTCTTTTCAACAAGAGTAAAACAGGAACTTATACTTTGCTATGATGGACTTGTTTCAGGCACAAAACTCACCTTCATTGTTTTGCATTTTACTACTTTTTGGTTTGAATACATTACTACCTCAAGAGAGAGGTTCCAGATGGGCTATAGCTTAAATTCTGGATAGACAGGGCAAAGTTAAGCACTGCTCCTGTTCTCAGTAAACTTTGGAAGGAGTATTGACGTGTGGTCTCTGAGCATCTCTTGACTTGGTCATAAACATTGCTTTTTCTGGTGCCGAGTGGAAGGATGAAACTGTTGGGTGGCAGGAAAGAACCACAGACTGGAAAATACATAAACATTGGAATGATGTTCTCTTGATGAATTGAACCCTTTGTTATTCTTAATATTCTTCTGAAATCTTTGATATTAATATAGCCACTCTTCATTAGTGTTATTGTACATCTTTTCTCATCTTTTTTTTTTTACATAATTGTGCTTTATATTAAAAATTTATGTATGCATATAAAAGCTGGGGTGTAGGTCAGAGGTGTGCAGGGGCCAGGTGGGTGAGAGGATTCCCCAGAGACAGAGTGGGGAGCAGAACAGGCAGATCTGAAATATACTGCTGAGGGGAGCGGGCAAGGCAGGAGAGGTCTGCTGTGCCATGTGGGTCAGCAGCCTGGCTGGGGATTGAACGCACGCTGCAGTGGTTGGTGATAGCTGATAGTGTCGTTATCCTGAGACTTAACCCCTCTAGCTTCCAGAAAGGGCCTTCTCTTTTATGTTTAAAATGGATTGTTTTTAGGCTGTATATAACTAGGTCTAGTTCTAAAAACAATCTAATCCAGTAATCTTTTTCTTCTAATTGGGATGTTTGACCATTTTCATTTATTGTGGTTACTGATACAGGTTCTACTGAATACACCAGCCCCTTTGTCTTTTCTGCCCTTTCTCTCTTGCTTTATTTTTGGATTGAGATTTTTATGATTCACTCGTGGTTACCATCTTTACTTTCTGAGTGAATTGTTCTGGTGGTTTTTTAGATTTATATTACACATTTTAGTCTACTTTCAAAGTGTTTCAAAGTGTAATTATACACATCACATATACTATCGAACCTTCTTCCAATTATACTTCCACTTCTCCCTAGCTTGTATACTGCTATTGTCATACATTTTATTCTATATGTTATAATCTCCACAGTACATTGTTATTTTTCCTTTATGTGGTCCTTTTCAAGAAACTTAAGTAAAAATGTCTGATATTTAACAGCCATTTTCAGTTTTTTTTTTCTGCAGCTAGAGATCTATTTGATAAAATTTCCTTTTGCTTAAAGGGCCTCCTTTAAGATTTTATTATTTATCCTAGTGAGGAATTTGTTGAGCTTTTGTACAACTCAAAAAGTTTCACCTTTTAAAAGATCTCTTTGTTGTACATAGAAATCTGTGTTGACAGATTTTTTTTTCTTCCAGTACTTTAAATACACTTTTGGTATTCTACTTTTTTGTCTTGTACTATTTCCCCCCAAAAAAATTTGCTGTCATTTTAATTTCTCTGTATGTAATGTGTCTTTTTCTCTGACTGCTTGTAAGATTCTTCATCAATGATTTTAAGCAATTTACGATGTGCCTTAAATACCATTTTCTATGTTTGAGAGTCATTGAGTTTCTTGGTTCTGTGGGTTTCATTTTCATCAAATTTAGAAAGACTCAAATCTTTTTAGAACAGATGTCATCCCAGAATTTACTGTTGATCTCTTGTTCATCTTATTTTTGTTTTATTTTGGCTCTGCTACTATGTCTTATTGTTACCTTGGTCTATCCTGTCATACCTAGTTGCTGTTAACTTATTCCACTGTTTTTCATCTCAGTCAGATTACTTTTCTGGAAGTTTGAGTTCATATTTGTAATTTCTATGTGTACTTCACATGTTCAGTCCTGACAGCTCCCTAAAGGTAGGCTTGCAGCAACGTCACCTCGGGCCATCCCAAGTGTATTTGAACAATAAACGAGAAACCAAGGAATATAAGCACATGTACTATTTATCACCTCCCCTCAGGAGGTAAGCAAGTAGCTAACACTTGCCCTAACATGGCGACCAAAAGAGAGATGCTGAAGGTTTCTGTCCTGAACATGAAAGGAAAATTAAACCACTTGTCTGTCTGCGCACATGCAAAAGAGGACCTGGGAACCGGGCGCCAGGGGTCAGGAGGAATGCTGCTTCATTCACGAGTGGAGGCCAGCATGCCTCTCCTGAGGCCTCAGCATGCCTCTCTGAGGGCTCCAGATTCACAGGAACGATGGCTTCAAAAACTCCCAAGTGCTCAGTTGCCTTGTATGTGTTCATTTTCTCCCATGGCCTGTGCTGAAGCCCACATGCGCAGGGCTGGAGCTGGACAAAGGGCATTCCAGTCTTCGCACCTCCTGGTGTTTCAGTCCACTTCATGTGATGTTCCAAGTACCTTTCCCTAGGGGAGGAGAAAGAAATGGATTCTTAAAATTCCAAGTGTGATTCGCTGTGGAAGTGAAAACACGTGTGTGACCCTGGTTTCTCACCCCAGGAGTGACCGCAGCTTGGGGACTCTGTGGTTTTGGGGTGGTGGGAGGGTTTGGAAGGGTAACTACCAGTCTTGTGCCAGTAAGGGGACATCTGAAAGGACCTAGGTTGCCCACCCAGGCTCTCTGGGAAAGGGCTTTCATGCTGTTTTTAAAGGTCAAGGGCCCTCCCTGGTGGCACAACGGGTTAAAGCACAGCACTGTGAAGCTGTCCGCAGCCACTGCAGCATGAATTCTATCCCCAGCCAGGGACGTGACCCACGTGGTGCAGCAGACCTCTCCGGTTTCACCCGCTGCTTCCCCTCAGCAGTGTATTTGAGTAGCTCTGTCTGTTCTGCTCCCTACTGTTCTGTTCCCTACTGGTGCCTCTGGTGAATCCTCTTACCTCCTCCACCTCCGGCCTGAAGCATAAATAAATAAATCTTTAAAAAAGCTCAAGAGTGCACCCTGGAAGGCTTATGGCTGCAGGTTACAAGACTTGTTTCTGCTGGACAGTGGAGGGAGGGATGCAGGGTAAATGTGAAGAGTGCACCACGTTGAGGAAAAAGAGCCAAACACTAAGTGAATGTGGCAGCTTGGTTATCAGTCATTGTAGATAGCTGCTAGTCATTCAATTATTTTGTAAAGCTTTTTTTTTTTTTTTAAGATAATTTATGCTTGTAAGAGTTGAGGTGTAGGCCAGAGGTAAGAGGATTCATCACAGACCGTGGAGAGCAGAACAAGTGTATCTAACTGAAATACACTGCTGAGGGGAGCAGCAGATGAAGACAGAAGTCATCTGCTGCTCCCTGACCCGGGGATCTAACTCAGGCTGTAGTGGCTGGCGACGTCTTGGTACCACTGTGTTGGTAACCCCTGCACCGCCAGGGGAGGCACAATTGATTATTCTGTAACCATTGGCCGAGTGGTGTATATAGAAGGAATGGGAACTGTGGGAAGGCCTAACACCAAAGCCTGTCCTCAGATGTTGGTTTCGTTGGGAGGATTAGATGCATCCCGTGAGACACAGAACACTAACATAGGAAACCTGAGCCACTGGAAAGCTTGTGTGTAGGAACAGCTTCCCTTCCAACAGCTCTGAAATGACTCCCACAGAGCCACCGAGACTCTTACGCCAGGGGCTGTGCCTGGAGGCTGCCACCCAGCTCCTCTCTGTCCTGTTTCGGGGGGCTGTTTCAGGTCTCATTGCATGCCTCCTTCACGCTTCCGTAGCTCCTGTCTACCTACTCAAATGTTCTTTCATCAACATCCTTCTTTATTTGTTGAAACTGTCAGTTTGGAAAACTTTGCCCTTTCATTCACCTCCTTCACCCAATTTCCAGCTCTGTGCTCCAGATTAAACCTAACTGTGGCCAAGAGTTTTGATTTGGGTTTATAATGACCTGCAAAAATAAACTAAAATGTTTTGAATTGAAACTTGAGATGGTTAAAAAAAAAATCAGTGCCAAAAATACTTTGAAAATTTCCTTTATAATTGGTACCAAAGAAATTAATCTATTTAACTGGAATAATTTTTCTCTCTAGCACCAACCAAATAAAAAAAATTAAAATATTCTTTGTCTTTCCTCTTTTTGTTCTTAATAGAATGGGAAACATTATTTTTCATAACCATCACTGAATTACTCAAAGCACTTAGTTCAATGGTGTTTTATGTACCCACAGAATTGTGCAATCATCACCTCTGATTTCAAAAGATTTTCATCAACAATAAAATACAGTCACACACACACCCCCCCCCCATTCCCTTTCTCCAGAACCCTTGAAAGCCACTAATCTGTATCTGAATTTGTCTGTCTTGGACAATTCATATGAATGCAATCAGAATGTATCGTGCTTTGATTTCTCTCATTTAGTGTGCTTTCAAGGTTCACCCATCTATCAGAAAGTCATTCCTTTTCCTGGTTGAATAATATTCCACTGCCTGTATATACTACTTTTTGTATATGCACTAATTCATTATGGATGAATATTAGGGTTGATGCTAGTTACAACTAGTCGATGCTGCAATAAACATCCATGTTCATGTTCTCATGTGAACATCTTTTCAACTTTCTTGGCTATTTATCCAACAGTGGAACTGCTCACTCTTTATGTTTGACATTGGGGGAACTACCAAATTATTTTCCAAAGGGGCAGAACCATTTTAACTATCAATGTAGGAGGGTTCATCCTGACCAACACTCATCTTTCAAGTTTAACCATGCTAGTAGGTACCTTACTGTAGTTCTGACTTACAGTTCCCTAAGTTAAAATGAAGGGATCAAGTGGGCATCGTTTCTGTTGCTCACAGGCCATTTATGTATTTTCTTTGGAGAAATGTGTATTCCAATCTATTGCCCCTTTTTATAAATTAGGTTTTTATCTATTGTTAGTTGTAAGAATTCATTACCTATCCTAAGTACAAGTCTTTTATTAGATATATGACTTGCAAATATTTTTCCCCTCCTGTAGGCTGTCTTGATGCTGTCTTTGAAGCATAAATTTTTTTAATTCTGATGAAGTCTAGTTTATTTTTTCTTTTGTTCTTTGTGCTTTTGTGTAGGAGCACTTTTTTTTTTTTAATGGAAATTTGGCTTTTCAGCCACCTTAATTAGATTAACTTGTGAACCAACTGAGAGCTATAACCTCTCTGGGAAAAATATGTAAGCAGGACCAACAATGATGGTGAGTTGTTGTATATAAACATAGTACAAATGGGGAGAGTTGTAGGAGACCAGGGGCTGGTGAGGACTGGTGCTGGAGGGGACAGGAAAGCTTCTGGGCCAGAGGAGGGATGGAAGGGGGTCTTGGGCGGAGGAAGAGTTCAAGCTGGAATGGTGTTATGGAGTCTCTCCTCTTTGTGTGTGTTAAGGTATCTTGAATGTAGATTCAAGAGCCTTGGCAGCCCAGCTCTGCCCCTAAGAGCTATCCTATCTGCTGCAAATGTGGGAAGTAGGAAGTGGGTGAGCACTGTCAGCCCCTTGATCGGCTTTCCTTTCCTTCTTGAGCCCAGAGGCTGGACCTGGGCCATGCTGGCCATGCCTGGAGCAGACTCAAACCTGCTGCTGGCCCTTTGGCCATTCTCAGGGTAAGAGGGCTGAGGTCATGCAGAACCAAGGCCGGTCCTCTTTAGGAGGGCTGGAACAGACAGGGACGCCTGGGCCTGCTGAGGTTAAGGCTCTGGGTGAAGCATCTTGACCAGCTTGACCTCAGGAAGTCATTTGAACATGGCCATTTTAAGGAACTCTTAAGGAATGGGGATGAAGGGTGGGGAGCGGCTGAGGTCTGTTTTGCCTGATGCCAGGGAATGAAAAAAGATAGAAATGGAACTGTGTGTTTTTAGTTTGTATCCACATGTCCCTGTCAAAGTGGCTGGGTCAAGGCAGCAATGAGAAATGTTGGGAACCTTGTAGCTCATCCTGGGGAGTCTCCCAACCCCCTGTCAGCATCTGTGAGGACAAGGGACCGTCTGTCTCCCCGTCTCATTGCCAGGCTTCTGTTGCCTGAAATTGGTGAAAACAGAAATTCCATCTCTAAACATTTCCTATCTGAGCATCTCTTCATTTCCTGTTACATCAGATCAGTCCTTCTTTCCCCCTAGGAGCTCAGTAAATATTTATTGATGATGAAGATAATCACTAAAAATATGTTCCCATTAATGGGATAAATCACTTGCCACTCAAGTGTCCTAAGCCCATGAGAACTGCTTTACCACTGTGTTCCCTTCACTTAAAGGAAAAGCTTTCCATTCTATCTGCCCTGAGTTCAGACCATTCCTTCTTTGACAGGATGCACTTACCCATCCACCATGCTGCTGGACCCAGGGCGAGAAGTTCTCTTTCAGGTACTTGGTTCCAAAGCCCAGCACCCTGTTCATGGGGTGGTTGTCGATGGCCGTGAGTTTGGCCATGACATCTATTGCAAGAGCAGCCTTAAAGCTCTGAGCTTTGACCTCGGACTCTCCCCTGGTGTCCACACCCTGGAGGAACTGGTCCGTGATGGTCTTGAAAACAGAGTAGGACAGCCCGTCCTGGAAGCTGCTCATCAAGCTCTTGTCTCTCCTCAACTGTGTGCAAGAGAATAAGTGTTAGGATCAGCTTGGCCCAGGCAGGCCAATACCCAGTCACATCAGCATTAAAACAGAACACCTCAGGTCCTCCCTGGTGGCGCAGCAGGTTAAAGCACAGCACTAAGAAGCTAGAGCCACTTGAACATGAGTTCCATCCCCGCCTGCCCCGGAGGTGACCCCCATGGAGCAGCAGACCTCTCCTGACCCGCCAGACCATTGATCCTCTCAGCACTGTACTTCATCAGTCGGCCTGTTCTGCTCCCCCACTCTGTCTGTGCTGAATCCTCTCACTGCCCCTGTGCCTCTGGCCTGTACCCCAGTTCTGTATGCATAAATAGATAAATCTTAAAAAAAAAATGTTCATTGATGTTCAACTGAGTTTCTCTGAGCACTTAGCGCTGGGCTGGTGATGTGGATGGATGAAACTGGAGCTCACAGGTTAAGGGGGGTGGGGGGGCAAAGGGATATAAAGGTGGTGGGAGAAGAGGGTTCGTCCATCTCGCTAGCTCTCAAGAAGAGAGAAAAAAGCACGAGTATACCTGAGAACTTGTCCACTTGAATATTAGGTCAAATGTCATGATGTTGATTTTTCATTTAAAAAATTGGCTATAGAAGTACTGGTTGACATTGTTGTTAGGATTTTAGAAATATAAGATCCTCGCTGTGGGTGTACAAGGCTCCCTTCAAGTTAGACAAGGACAGAACACTAGATGACACTGGAGCAACAGGTCCACATCCTGAGGTGTGACAGGAAAGCCGGGAGCCTGGGGCTGGGCAAGCTTGATGGATTTGCCTTGTGTCCCAGGGACTGATCAGTGGGGCGCCTTGTTAATAAGACTGGAGCCTTGGGTGGGGTGGAGAGTATATCAGCCATTCATCCTCCCTAAAGCCCTAAATCCAGTATTCAGTTTGACCCAAACTTCTCTGTTTATAATAAAAAGTCTAAGCTCTAGCTTGAGCAGCCCCTGGCTGTTTCCTTATCACATGATGTTGCTGACACAGCACCTCCTTTCAGGTGTGGTCACTGTAGCGCGCACCCCACCAGAGCACCCCAGTCCTCCACCACATCCATTGTGCTCCCCCCCACCCCTTCTGGGTGCCTCAGTTCTATTGTACCTGGCTCTGAGAGTCTCAGGGGGTGCAGGGTGCATGCACTAGGGGGTGACGGGGGTGAGTGACCTTGCAGGCTCTGTGGCCACTACTGGGGGTTGGTGGGGGGGGGGCATCATTTCATTTTTCTATCTCACGCAGCACAAATCAGACCTTCCGCGTGTCCCTCTACTGGAGAAGCAGAAGGAATAGCAGTCATGTTTTCGACATAAAATAGTAGCCCAGGTCATCAGGAGGTGCTGTTGCCTGGCATCAGGCAAAGCAAGGTTTTTAAAAGTTGTAATTTGGGGGTGAAGAGGAAGCTATCTCATCATAACCTGAGGGCTCACCAGCATCGCCCTCCTCCCCGCCCCCCCGTCCCTGGCCTCCCTGACTTCCTATTACCGTCATTGGGTAGAGGCAGGATAAGAGGTCACCATGAGAGCCTCAGCACCTCGAAGCTAGTGAAGAGGCCTCTGGGACAGCAAACAGGTCCCTCCCAGGTTGGGTTTTGAACTGTTGGCTGGTTATGGGCAGCTGCTTGAAGAAGCTGCCACAGGAAGATCGTTCCTCTCCAAGGCAGCTCTGAGCCTGGATGGTCAGTCCTGGGAGCTAGAAAGTTCACCCGACTGCCTGTAACTCCTTTGATGCTCCTTCTGGAGGGAGGCAGGGAGGCCCTAACGTCACATTCAAGCTCCACTTCCTGCCCCTGCACCCCGCCTATGACCGCCGAGGCCTTCAGCTCACATCTCTCTCTGCTCTAGTGGGACCGAGATCCCTGGTTTCCTCAGTTTCCCATTCTGCACCATGTCCCATATCTTTCAGCCTCCTCGGAGGGTGGCTGGGGGCTGAGCCCAAGGTGCTCCTGCAGAAGGGACCCAAGCCCAACAAGGGAATGGTCCCTAGACTGTGCCTGATGGTTAGAGCTCAAGAGGACACAGACTGTGGGTTACAGAGACAGGGAAGAGGTGGTCAGAAGCCCCGGTGACTTGGGTGATGGTGTGTGCTCCCCAAGTCTCAGACGCTCCTGATTGGAATGATGGTCTCAATCTCTAACTGGCAGGAAATCCAAAATTCTCCGGGTAACACAAATCTGCTTCCCCGGCTGAATGGCTAAGAGACTGAGCACAGAACAATCCAGCAACTCAAGGCGGGTGGGGGGGATTTCAGAAAGGACTTGCCTCAGAGCAGCTGTGGACACAGATATCCAGGCTGCAGGGCAAATGCAAGAATCTAAACTTCACTGAGGATCAGTTACATGGGGAACAAGATTAATAATTCTATTCAGCAGATTGTAATTTATTGGTGCTTTTTCTTACAATAACAAAGTAACTTTCTTCATTTCCAAAAATTCCGAGAAGGCTCCAGAAGGTTTACTTATGTTTTCCAAAGTGATTCATTTTTGAGTTGCTGCCAGTTTGAAGAATTTTGACTCCAAGGGAAATAAAATTTAGGACTAAGTGGAAACCAGAACTTTGAGAAGGAGTGAGGTTGCAACCTGGAATACAAGTCCCTCCTTGAGTAGCAGAGACTGGGCACAGAAAGAAATCACATTTGTTTGAGTGCCATACCTCTCTTTCCAACTGATCCCCTGAATGTTTCAACACCTCAACGATTTTGGTTATGACTTGGTCATCTGCATCTGCCAGGGGGAAATTCCAGTTATTCCTTTTATGAAAAAATATCTTGAATTATTTCAGTATCAACACTTGTAGCCTGGCTAGGGAGTGAGGAAGTGTGCTTAGTTTGTAATTTTTTAGTAAATCACATCTGCCTTTGCCTCCGCTGAGGAGGCACAGAACATTCCAGAGACCCTCTCTGCCAAGTCCCTCCTCTTCTTTCCTCACTCAGCCCCAACCCCCACCTTCCCACCTCACTGCAAAATTCATTACTATATTTACGGGAATGTTGTTGAAGACATTAGTTCCACCACCCTTGAGCCTGTCTCCAAAGACAGTTATGAGAATTTCCTCTCTGGTCTCTGGGATTTTATGGCCCTTTTTCCAGATGGACACCATAAATCCCCTCCTGGAGAGGGTCTAGTCTCCCCGACTGGCATTTTAGCCTCTATCCTAAACCCACCTCATCTTCCCACACTTGATTCCTTTTTACCTTATTTTTCAAATTTGAGTCTTCTCTTGTTAAAATGTCGACCAGGTCTTTACAAGATGGGGTATGAATGAGCTCAGGTGGCAGCGGTTACAGATGCTGTAATTGGTGTGTGTGTTGGAAGGGGGAGGCAGGGTGGGGTTTTTCTGGTCTCAGACCTTGCTAACAACTAAACATGAGGAAACGGTCTTTGCATTGAACAGAATCCAAACAGAGAGGGTCAGTGACTGAGAAAACAGCATTTGTAAGCTTAAGACACAGACCCTGAAGCTGGAGTCCTCATACACGCCTGGGACCGGAGGGCAAGCGAGGACCTTCCGAGGACTCTGGCTGCGCTGCCCACACCCTCCACGGACAGGGAACACCACCAGCCAGGAGAATGGGGTGTTGCCCTCACCCCTGCTCCTCTCAACCCTACCCTTAAGAGCCCAGAATCCCCACTTGCCCAAGAAGATCTGCAGTTTCAGTTATGTGGCGGTTTTGCTCACAACTGGCCCACACAGGTCACTCAGTTCTGCTTCGTGCGTGGTCTGCGCCAGACCTGACAAAGCCCTGCCTTCTCCTCGGAGCTGCTGTGAGGGCCTCGGGCCCTGGGGCTGATGCTCCGCCTGACCTCGCCTTCCCAAAAGCAAACTGGTCCTTGGCCCTTGCTGACGCGATGAAATCAAACACTGCGTTTCTCCCTGGACAGGGCTGAATGCACACTCTGTACGGCCTCCCCTCCTTCAGCAGGAGATTTTCTTCTGACTTAGCCTCGAACTTGGCACTTGCTTCGGTCTGCCGGAGCCGCCCCGCTGGCGTGGGCTGCGCCCCCAAACCACAGCGCCGTGTCTCTATCTGCTCGTTGCTGGCAGGACCTGAGTCTAGGTCAGCGGAACCCCGGGTTGCAAGGTCTGAGCTGAATGAATACACAAGTGCACCGGATACCCCTGCCAGTCAACATAGTCCCCCCCCACCTCAAGAAACACTCAGGGGGGAGCTTACCTTTCTTAACACCGGCTGGTCTGGGCTGGGACCCCTGCGATTGGAAGTTGAGACTCCGCAGTGAAAAAGACTTTTTGGGTTCAGATGATCCTTGGAGGTGGAACTCTTCCGGCGGTGGCCAGGAATAAACAATTTCAGCAACTCGGTTGGCAATGGAAACAACTTCAGGGGCCACAACTGAAACCAGACAAGATGTGCTGAGAGGCTCTCCCTGGAGAAGTTGCCTCGCTCCGTGGTGTGCACGCTACGGGAAGACCAGCCCTGGCTGGAGAATGTGGGGGAGGGAGAGCGTGTGTGCAGGGGGTCCCTGGCAGTGTCTGGAAGCCTGGTGGTATTTACAGCAGAGTGTTGTCTTCCCCAAACAACTGTCCTTTTTTAAGTCTTGCAAAATCAAGGTGCCCCCACATCCCTTTTGTTAGGGTATAGAAGGGTTTATTTCGGTTTCTGATTGAGTGATCACTCATTATGCTTTTTAAAAATTTTTCTCTTTTTTGGATAGTCTAGGTAGTCTGGAGAGCTGGTCCCTGTGTGCATAGGAGGGTGCTTGGGGGTGGGACTAGACTTTGGGGATTCATCCCTGAAGAAACAGGGCTATTCAAGGGCTAACCAAGTAAACGTGGATGTTCACTGCAAGTAGAGTCACCTGTTTTCACTCCCCCATGTCTCCTGGGAGATGTCTGATTAAAATGAACAAGGAAGCATATACAGCCCCAAAGAATCTGTAATCCAGGGAAAGTCATGTCCTGTATTTCTATACATCATTATAGAATAGAGTTCTTTGAGACATTTAAATGGGGTTGGTCCCGACTGTCATATTGCCCCTGGTGGCTGGGGTCCGGTGGAATGGACAGCTGGCTTTTGCCTGGTGGTTCACCGGGAGGAAAATTTCCATTAGCGATTGTTACTAAGTTCTTAACTTTTAGAGGCTTCTACAAGCTCTGTCTTGGCTGCCACATGAAGCAGTTGTATCGTGGTATTTGAAGAGTGACACTATTTGACTCAACTGACTTAAACAAAGACTGGAGTGAGGTTTGGTCTGGGAGGGTGGTGTGCCTAGGACGTGACCAATCAGGATGGATGAGAGGCCAGGCCTGGGTCCCCAGAGGAGTTATACCACAATGAAAACAGGTGTGGACACCCTACGGTGGAGGCTTCTGATGCTTCCTTCCTGGACTCACCCCCAGGGGGGAGTGTCACCCTCTGAGTGCTCTTGGAAGTGTCCTGGAAGTGAAAGCTCAGTCCTTCACCCCTTTTTATATAAACAAGGCATCCATTAATGGGCCTCTCGCTTTCCAGCCACAGAGTTCAAACCCAGATAAGGCGTGCAGTAGAGAAGAATCAGTAATTTCAGGGGAGAACAATGTCTTTCCTTGTATTTTAACAACCAAACCAAATACACTTTCCAGTTTAAAATCACCTTCATATAGCCAACCAGCCTCTTCACCACTGGCCCCCATGGCCCCTGCAAGGTGATGGCAAGAGGCTGGGCCCCCAAGCCACTGAGCTCCTTCCTCCTGTGTCCACAGGAGACAGCAAGGGCAGGCTTCCATGTTTAACCTGTGCGTCTGCCTAGGGTGACCGGCACACGGCTGTCCCTGAGTCATGCTGGATCCATCTTGCAGGTGATGACCCTGAAGGCAGTGCCTCCTTACCACCACCCCACCTATGGCAGACAGCCCCCCTTAGCCGCCCCTCCCCCCTTGTCCACCAACAGCATGGACTCCGGGTCCTGCTGGGCAGTGATGGGCAGATGCTGGGCAGTGATGACTGCTGGTAATGAGTGAGCAGTGCAGAGGACACGTATGCAGGGAAGATGTCAGCAAACATGCTGATCCCAATGAACTAGATCTCATGTGTTTCCTATTTTAAATACGTTAATTTTAAAATATATAAAAAAGAAAGCTTCCCTTCTTGTGAGAGTGAGTCTAATCTGATAGACAAGGGAAAGCTGGATGAGGGTGTTTACAAAACAGAAATATTGGTCATCTCTTGGAGTCTATTTGGGGGGTTGGGTCATGGTGGGGCCACTAAAAACGAGCTAGGGAGGTGCCTTTCAACCTCTGGCCTAAGACATTTGTTTTCAAAAGCAGTTTGGGAGAGATTTTCAATGGCAGAGGCCACTACTCCCTTGTTGCAAGAAGTAGCCAATGAAATATAAGGAAGTGGGTAGAGTTTCAAGAAAGCTCTCTCAAAGAGAGCTTTGGCCTTCTATTTTTTTTCCCTCCCTGCTTGGAATGCAGCTACGATGGCTAGAATCCCTGCAGCCACCTTGGGATATAAGATCAATTTGAGGTTGGAAGTCATTAGCCGAGGGATAGCCAAAGAGGATGCCCTGGTGACTGTGAACTGCTGAATCAGCCCTGGACCCTCCAAATTCTGACCTTCTTTTATGGGAAAGAAAACTAACCATTACACTGTTGAAGTGATAGCCTTGTGAGTTTTCTACTATATGCTGATGAACCTAATCTTAACTACAATCTTCCCTAAATTGCTGAACCACAGCTTCTAAAACAACCAGTTTTCTACATCCTACAGCTTCTCATTCATTGATTTTGGTCTTGGGACATAACTTCCTAGTTCTCACCTAGCTTGGTGTTTGAATGTCGGGAAGGGCAGCGCCAGGCTAAATTGTGATCTTCATTTAAAAGTACCCAGACAATTGGGCCTCCCCTTGTGGCACAGCAGGTTAAAGCACAGCACTAAGAAGCTAAAGCCATTTCCACATGAGCTCGGTTCCGCCTGCCCTGGAGGTGACCACATGGTGTGGCAGACCTCTCCTGACCCGCCCGCTGCTCCCCTCAGCAGTGTACTTCTCAGTCAACCTGTTCTGCTCCCCACTCTGTCTCTGGTGAATCTTCTCTGTGCCCTTTGCACCTCTGGCCTGTACCCAAGTTCTGTATGCATAAATAAATAAAATCTTAAAAAAAAAAAAAAAAAAGAACCCTGACAAAACCAACGGATCAGCTCTGATTTATATGTGGCAAACAGAAGTACAATGAGACGTTCTGGTGGGTGCCAGGCAATGGGAAACAATGAACCACTCATGTAAGTTAATAAACGAGAGGAAAAGGCCTGGAGGGACTATAAACTGTCCTAAAAACATTCACATTGAAATCTCCTTAGGAGATCCAGGTATCCCCTGCTTTTGAAAATTTAAGTTAATACCACTTGGCTTTAGCAAACGAACGATATTAGCACACCTTTTCACTGACAGAGGAAACTGCAAGACACTGTTTCCTTTTACGACAAAAGCCGCAAGGTGCGCACAGCTCAGGGGTGCTTTGCGGCAGTTCTGGAGAATCGCGGCTCCAGGAGATGCGGGAGGCTCCGGCTGGACATCCTGCTCCTGCCTCTGTGAGTGTGGTCTTGGGTTTTCTGCCTAACGCCATGATTTGTAGGTTCTATTTTGGGTTTGAGAATGCTGAAAAATTGGCCATGTCAAGGAACGGTGATTGTCTTGCCACCATCTCAGGTTAGTGTGTTTGGGAAGTTACTTTCAGGTAGCAGGGGAAACATGCCCACTGTTTTTAGGGGCACCTTCGTCACCTCTTTTCTGTCAACTGCGTGTGCATGTGGCATTCAGCCATCGACATTATCCTCTACATGCTTTTAAAATTTAAATTGATGCCTCTGTGTTACATAGTCTCCCCCCCAACACACAAAGATTATCTTTTAAAATTAAAAAAAAAAAAAAAATACATCACATCGGTGGTACCAAACCACAGAATGTCCTTTGCCCAGGAAGGCAGGACAGATGCAAGCTTACAAAAGCTTCCAGTCTCCAGGCAAAGTCTAACAGGGATAGTCAGGGCCTCCTGCTCCGGGCCTGCAGGCCGGGTGTTTGCAGGAGCCCAGCTGTCTCAGCAGAAGCAGTGCATGGGCTGTGCCTGCCTGGGGCCTGGAGGTTTCCTTGACCATCCTGAAGGATCTAAACCTGGCGCCGCCTTCTTGTCCAGTAAACCAGAGGCTGCATTTTCCGTTTGAAAATTGAGTCATTACTGCCACCTGTTGACTAATTGTCGACTTGTTGCCAGCAAGGGGCGGTGGGTTCCTGCTCACACCGGGCCCAGGCCCTGGGCGAAGACATCCGGTGAGGTGTGTGTGCCTTTCTCTGATCAGGCCCTTCGCTAAAGTGTCTTATTCTATGTCATGTGTCCCACTCAGGGCAGATGTTAAGATGCTTCTCAGTTCTTTTGCTTTAGTAGCACAGTTTACACTTTGCAAAGTATTTTTGTCCATTGTGATCCTATCTTGTTTTCTACCTTAAGCGGCAGGGAGGGTGGGAGACCCCAATATACTGCTGAAATGCCGAGGCTCGGAGGGGAAAGTGGCTTTACAAAGGGTGGCAGCCTCAGCTGTCGCTTGTCTTTGATCCCTGGGAGGGGGGGGGTGCGATCAGGAATTTGGGCAACAAACATTTACAGACAGTGGAGCCAGAAAACCAGTTCTGTCCCCTTCACTGTCATTTTTGAGAAAAGCTGGGCAGTTACTTTCAGATAAGTCTGGGCCTGGGCTAGGGTGGGGACCCTAACTGAGGGAAAGACTTGAGTCCTGTGGGCATAGGGATTCGATTGAGGGAGACGCACACTTACCTTCCTCCACCACACGCTGCTCCACGTTCAAAAGGGAACTGTACCGTGGCTGACTGCAGGAGGTCCCCTCACTCTCGATTCCTGGGCCTTTAAACTGGGAGGTAGGAGCGCTCTGGAGGGTGGGCACACTCTGGGAATCTTCCTCCCTCTCTATCACTCCAAACAATGTTCTCCAAGAAGACTTCTTCTTGGCAAGGTTGACAGACTTCTCAGTGGATGGGGAATTTCTGCAGTGCCCTGATACCTGTGTCCATGACTCACTGGGTGACCTGCTCCCCAGCCCCAGCTGCTGGGACCGACTTCTTGTCCTCAGCAGCTTCGGCGAGAAGACAGAAGTCTTTCTTTTGAAGACGTAGTGTTGGACGTAGAATTCCAGGATCTTGAATTCGATGCTGGTGGAGTCATCCTCGTCCAGGGGGATGTCCTCCAGGTCACTCCTGCTGGTGGTGCCCATGGCGGGGCTGAAATGACAAGGTCCACATGCATCCTTGGCCTGCGGGCAGCCTGCTCGCGCAGTCAGAGGCCAGGTGTCTCTCAGGACAAGTCTATGCAGCTCCCATTCTACGCATGCTGGGAGGCAGGGAGACATTAGAGATGGACAAGTGGGTGCTTTCTAAAGGTTCAGTGTCACAGGGATGGGGAGAGGGACAGGAACCTATTGACAGGTTTAACTCCAGGCTGAGTGAGCTGGGAAGGGGGACAGAGGAGGAGACAGGGGGTGTAAGAGATGCAAATAAAAGGTGGGTAAAGACCCCCTTTAAGATGGAAAGGGTTTATCTGGGAGGGTGGGATTTGGGCTAAAACAGCACAGGACAGGGGGAGATTATAGGTGAATTTAGGGTGTATTTGAAGAGCAAGGAGAGAATTAGTAGAGGTCTTTGGAAAGCTTTTTGAAAGCTCACTTTATACCACTTGGCTTTTAGGAAAAGACTTACATTAGTACCGTTTTTGTTAACCAAAATAAACCCCAAGAGGACTTTCCTTTTCACAACACAAGCCAGGAGGTGAGCACAGCACTCCCTGCCTGCTTCCCAGCAGCCTTTTCAAGGCAACTGCACCCCAAGCGACAGTTCCTGAGTGCCTTGGGGGAATAACTTCTACCGGGACACACACATCTTACCATCCTTCCTGTACTATAAGTTAGTATGGATTTGCGTTACTTAGTATGATTTGTATGTCCTTTTGGGGGGTCTGAGAATGCTTGAAACTTTTCCATATAAATGAATGGTAAATCGCCTTTTTGAATTTCTCAGGAACTCTCCACTATCAAACAGCTGGGGGGGGGAACCGCCTTGGGACATATGAGCAACAGGACGTGGCGGGCTTTGCCAGCGCCTTGCACAGTGCCTGGTACCTGGTAAGTGGTCCATAAATATTTGGGAAATGCCACAAAATCATTATAGAGCTGCCAGATAAAACATAGGATGGTTAGCCAAATTTGAATTTCTGATCAACATCAAATAATCTTTTAGTATCAATACATTCCGAGTACTACACGGGACATGCTTAACTGGAAAAAAAACTCACCTGTTTAGCTGAAATTCAAATGTAAGTGGGCATCCTTTGATTTTATGCAGTTGAGAACCCAATGATGAAAGATGTGGCTGAGAACTATTGAGACCTGAGGACAGTGGGACAAAGGCTGAACATGAAAGACTGATATCCGTAAAAGAATAAACCAGAAAGGGAGGCCGGAGTGAAACATGCGGTCAGATCATGAGTAAGGAGAGCTGAGTAAGGGGCTGAGCAGGCCAGAGCTGGAATGTGCCCCATCTGCAGTCCCTCATCCCAAGTTAGGGGAGTCTGGGTGCTGGAGGCAGGAGCTAAGTCCTTGGCTGGAAGGGTGAGCAGTTGCCTCAAGCTATTATGCTTCTGAAGGAGCATCCTTGTAAGCTGGGGAAAACCCCAACTAACACAGTGTGGAGCTTTAACGCTGCATGCACGTGTTGTGTGTGTGCCCGTGTGTGTCCAGGTGCATGGGCGTGCATGCACGTGGCCGGTGTTTGCTGCAGTGAGGAGAGGTTGACTGCTTGCAGAAACAACTTTGCTAAGTCCTGATTCAGGAACAGCATCAGAAAATGGGGGAACCCGCTGAGGTCGAGTGAAAGTACACAGTCCCTCCTTTGTGAAAGGGGAATTTTTTGTTGTGTTAAGGGCTAGAAATGAAGCCAGTCCTTGGCCCAACCCTTGGTAAGGCCAAGGGTGAGGGAAAGTGCAAAGCCCAGCCCTGCTCAGGCCCTGGTAGGGAAACCCCATCAGCCACCCACGAGGTGGCCAAGGAGGGGTCCTGACCAGGACCTAGAAAGGGTTCAGACATTTGAAATGCTGTTAACCAGTGTAGCTCTTCCCTGCCATGCTAGTTATTCTTTTCAAGCAGCAGTGAGTTTATCACCCATTGCATTCCTTTCTGTGGAAAGGAAAAGCCCAACTGCTGGAATTAAAGACACTTTAATACCATAGCATAATAATTTATGCTTGTGTTTATACAATAGAAGCCCTGGGTGGGGCTGGGTGGGACGCTACAGGAAACGTTGTGAGGCCTATTCAAGTTCAAGGTCTCACCCCTATTCTCCCCAGGCCAGGTCTACACCCTCTTTCTTATCTCTAACAAACCTGACCGACCAGGATTCTCAAAGGCAAGGTTACAGAGCGTCTTTCACAGCCTCTTCCTGGCAGAGGGCTCCTCTTCCCTACCCCCAAAGCTTCTAAGTGGCCACAGCCCTCGGGGTCTCCCCAGGAGGTTCTGCTGGGAAGCAGAAATAGCACCGAAGCACCTAAACTCCCGCCATCACTAGACACGCCTTCGGGACTTTGCTAGCTCTGGACTTGCATGTTTAGACTCAGGTCCACCTGCAGCCGCAGGTGAGGGTCCGGCCAGAGGATGAAACCAGCGGGGTGTGCGGTGTGCGCTTGTGGTTTGCTGCAGGAGCTGTAGGGAGCTGTAGGGACGAGGCTGCAGCGGCCTGGCAGGAGTTAGGCTCACTCTGCAGCACCCCTCAGGCAGGCTCAGGAAAAGCCATTGCTCAGCCCACGTGCGCGTATAACTCATGGGGACACTCATTCCTGAGCAAATTATGCGCCGTCTGGTTGCCCTGAGCTTCCACCAGCATCCCGATGCACTCATCCGGGCTCCTCGCGGCCCCCCCATTCCCCGCCCCTCCCCCCAACGCCCCGCAACTTGTTTGTCATCTGTGAGTAGGATGTGTGGAGATTTAGGAGAATGTCTGACCATCCCAAGACCACTCCCTCAGACAAAGCCTCGGGATGCATTCATTGAACAGAAGGACCAGGACTCTGTGGAACAGAGGGGCAAGAAAGTCAGACAGGGGGAGATTTCTGGTAGGATATACCCCATCCTACCTGCGCTGAATACTCGGGGGGTGACGCTGGGAGTCTGCCAGGACGACACCTGGTGCCCCGGTTCTCACAAGGCGCTCGGGACTCTGGCCTCCACCCAGGACTCTGTCCAAGGCCAGTCCCTGCTCTGGGGAGGAGTCACCATCTCCAGGGGACAGTGGCAGGCTGGGCTACCCTCTCACACCTTGTCATGTGCTCAGAGGAGATGCAGAAAGTGCAAAGCTCCAGCGAATCGCAGAGTCATAACTGAACTATCCAGAACCTTCTGGAGCAAAGGAGAAATGAAAGAGAAACCCAAGTAACGCTCTCCCCTTTCTTAGAAACCCCAATAAAACTATAGATTTCGTTTGCATCCTGACACATCCATCCTAAGAACTCTTCAGTAAACTCCTTTTTCCGGAACTGGATTTCTCATTAGCACAAGCAGGACTGAGCACCACCCGTGGCCCACATTGTCTGCTGACAATGAAGTCTGGGGTTACCTGGTCAGTGATTCTCTGCTTCTGGTCAAGTCAGGCTGTCCCTAAACCTGAGTACTTGTCCAGGAGTTGGAGGAGGAAGCCAAGTCCTCCTGGCCTCTCACTTACGAAGGCTGTCCGAATCCAAGCCTCCCTTCAGGACGGCCTCTTCAGATTTGGAACGAAGGTTGAAGTGGCCTTGGAAGGGTGTGTCACTTCCTGTTTAAGCCCCACCTCCAGCATTTTTACCAAAGGAGGGGCTGACACTTTTCCCCTGTAAGTTGACCGAAAAGAATTCTGAGTCCTTAATCAAGGATTTTCCTCTGTCCTTTGAGACAATGGTTTGGGTGTTTTCCAGAGAGTCCTTTACTTTCTTTCCATTTTATCAGTTTAGCAAATGTTTACTGACCACATCACAGGTGACAGGCACTGTGTATATTTCTAACACAACCCACAGACAGGCAGGTGTTACAATTCCCATTTAATAGACAGGGAAACGGAGGCACAGAGAGGTAGAGAATCTGGCTAGTGGTCCCTTATCAGCTGAGCTGAGCTTCCAATCCTGGTGTTTCTGGTTTCACATTCTATCATGTGACAGCTCCCATGAGATTCAAAGATTGGATTCAAATGGAACCCTGAGGGAAAACTTTAAAGATGGACTCTCACGCCAGCCAGAGCAAAAGCCACAAACACTCAAAAACCTGAGGTCACATTTTTAGGGATAGAACTCCCGATGCACAGGAGAGAAGAAACAGTTAAATGGAGCTTGTCCTGTCCAGATTCTTAACTGCAGTAGTTCTATACAGCCATATCTGTGCCCATGAAACCTAAGCCTTGGCTGGGGAAAGGGGAAGAAGGAAGTATGAATGTTAAAGGGGAATTAAGCTCCATAATAAAAGTAGGAGGAAAATGGTCATTTAAATACAAGCCAGACAGATCCAGGAATGGAATGGACAGTAGTTGTGGGAAAGTCAGTTCTTTGGTGATTCAAAGTGACTTTTCACAG